AAATCACCCACGTCTGCTTTGGCCAGCATGCACTTCCGTTTCTTCTTTTCAAGACAAGTGATCACTTTCTTCTCGGGTATAGGTGTTCTAATAATTGGTCCGAGCGGTATTAACGTTGGTCGAATGCGAACGCCAATGGGTACTTCCGGTACGTCTTCGCGAACTAATTCGGCGTGCTTCTTCTGAACTTCCTCGTCCTCTTTCTGTTCTCGGAGAGCTTTGTTTGGATCGTCGTGTTGAATGTACAAATCATTGATTGCCCTCAGAGGCATCAAACAAATCGGTAGAAGTCTCGAGTACAGGTATCTCTTTGGAGATAGCTTGATCTTCTTCGAAGGTTTCTCTTCTTCCCCTGTTTCTGGCATCATCAGAGTCGATCTGGCTAACAGCATCGACGAGAAGCCGCCTTTCTTTTTCACGTCTAATCTAGAATCGATGGAGAATCTCGACACTAAGGAAGGGATGGATCTCTTGGCACGTTTTGCTTCGAGAAGTTTCAGCAAGGTTTTGTTCGACGGCATGACGTACGGAGGCGGATGATCGTATTTTAATTTTTCAAGAGCCGCTTGTTCGTGGATACGCTGCATTTCTTCTTCGCTTTTCTCGGGAATCTTCAAACCAGCTGTAAGCAAAACTAAATTCAGACGATAAGGCGCATCAGGTTGATCCTGTTCCTTAATTTCGAGCAAAGGATCGATTATTGGTGTCTCTTCTTCTTCCATTAATCTAGCACGAGCTCTTCTTCCTTCCTCTTCCTCCTCTTCTTCTTCCTCCTCTTCTTCGTCGACATCCATAACGTCTATATCGACCTCTTCTACTTCTTCCTCAACTTTCTTCTCGGCTTCCAATTCAGCCTTCAATATCTTCAAATCGTCGTCGGTGATCGGTAGAAATCTCGTTTTAAATTGTTCGATGGTTGTGTCATCCGGCACCACTATTTCGTCAGGGTCGGCTGCATATTTTCCAGGCTGTATCGAGTCCACTGCCACGAAATGTATGATAAAAGTTGGATCGTTGAACTCTATCACGCTGTACAAAAGATCGACCAGCTCGTTCAGACTAGCCACCACAGCGAACGAAGCTGGATAGTTACGAAGACGCCAACCTTCTTCGTCGCTACCATAAGGATTGAACAGGAAGAAACAGGCATTCTCTTTCCAAATACCGTACATCAGTCTCTTGTTCTCCAAGACCAAGTCGGAATACCGTTTGAAATAGCATTCGAGAGCCTCCGCAAGATTCGCCAGAGGAGTAGCCTCTCCCTGAATGATCCTCATCTTCGTCTTGTAAAACACATCATCCTCGCCGAATTTCAATCTAACCGGCAACATCGTCAAATCCAAGTGACTCGGTATTGGCAGCAACGGTTTCTCCTCTTCCTCTTCCCCCTCCTCTATGTCCTCTTCTTCTTCTACCTCTCCCAGTATCTCCTTTTTCTCAACAATTTCAGGACTACCTTGGCGAATCCACTCTATAATCTCACCGTAAGTTTTATCACTAACGTCGATCAACTGATCGATATCTATGTTTCGCCATTGCCTGGGATCCTTCAGTCTTCTGTAAGCAAGGACTACAAGCGCTGCAATCAATCCTTGCTTACCTCTCGATCGTATTTCGAAACCATCGTCCAAGCAGCTCTTGGTGCCTTGAACAATCAAACGACGAGGATTTATCACTTTGTAACCCTTGACGATCTTTACCATCGGTTCTTCTTTTTCTTCGACCACATCTTCGGTTCTTTCTTCTTCCTCCTCGCCGAGAAATTCTTCCTCGTCTTCCCGCCATTTCTCCAGGGCAGTTATGTCCTCCTCCTCTTCCTCTTCTTCACCAGGTACTTCTTCCGGTAACTTCTTTTCTTCAGGCGGTAGAATTACGTAGGTGGTCGGCTCGTCTTCCGTCATCATGTACGAATCCGCGTCTCTCATCAAAGGAGGAGCTTGAACCGCAACGTCCCGCATTTTATCCATCTCTGGGCGTATTCTTGGCTTCATGTCGACAACTTCGTCTGTATCGGGCCTCCCCCAAATCTCCCAAGCGGGTGGCAACACTGCTGGTGGCGCTTGGGGTCTACGATTCGTGCCTTTCTCCCGATAGATCACTTTCTCCAAAGGGCCACCAGGCGTGGTTCCAGTTTTCACATAGAGAACACGAACACCGTGTATTATAAAAGGATCTCTCTCCCTGCTACCTGTGTTCTCCATAATGGTCTCTATCACTTGGTTGATCGAGCTGTTCATTGTTACGCAAGCCGACTCTCCAGGCTTGTCGGTCTTGTCCAGCTCGGCTGTCCCGGACCTGAAGCCTTCGTCGTCGCAAGCGTAAGGGTCCATGAAGTAATACGTGTCGTCGTGTCTCCAAATGGCGTAGTAAATCCCTTTTATCTCGAGCAGCCCGCACACCTGGCTATCGAAGAACTCGCGTATCCCGCTATCGAAGCTAAGCTTGCCCCTCTTTTGCCCGTAACCGGGAACGACGTTCGTCCGAATCTTCACTTTTGCGGAGTAAACACCGAGTATGACGTCGCCCATTGCGTCGTCCAACTTCAATTCGAACTCTTCGTCTTTGAGATCCTTGTCGAGAACTCGGACCAGATCGACGAAGTAGATGTTGGACTGATTGAAAATTAGATCGACCAAAGCGCTCGTCCATTTGTTAGCGTTCACTAGACGCGAGTAAACCAGAGCAGCTAGAGCTATGATCATGTGAGTTCGACCGCGAAGAAGATCGGGAACCAACGGATGCATCATATGATAAGAGCCCTGCACTACGGCTCGATACTTTTCTTGCACTTTGTAACCACTTGGCCGTCTTAGTGGTTTGCTATAAGCACTTTCCGTCACGTCTGTGTCGATCGGCTGAGTATAATGTTCCACGCCGCTGATGGCTATCGCGTGAAGAACGAACGGCTCGTTCTGGACGTTGCTCTTTTCGAGAATGATGAAAAGGACTCCTATCAAATCCTTCACGAGAAACAGTTTCGCGGTTCCACTGACTCCGTCCGAAGCAGGTTCGCAGTTTTCCGTTCTGGGCTGGCCGTCGAATATGTTGAAGTACCTCGTGTCCTTCCAGATCGCTATGTAGAGCACCGACGAACACAAAATCCCAGCGTTGTTGCGTTTGAAGAACAGATCCAACGCCTTCACCAGATGCAATTCCGTCGGTTCCGTGGAACGAAATGTGCCTGCGTATGCGGCATCCTCTATACTGACGTTCACCGTAAGCTTGTGCTGAACGCAGAGCGTCCTCTGTAGATCCAATATAGACAGTAGACGTCGATCATCGGTGTTTATTTCCTTGTACGATTCGCAATAGAACGTATCTCCGTCCTCGATGATCTGATCGATGACTGCCTCGTTCCAACAACGGGACTTGAACACTGTTGTTGTCGCGAAAGCTGCTATAGCTGTTGCTCCACCCTATTATTTGAAACGATAGATAACAGCTAACGAGACTATGATTGCATCTTTGCGCGTTGGTGAAGTAAAGAATATTAAAGGGTAGCGTTCGTTTCATCTTGCTTATCGGGGAACGTCAATCTCCGAATCAAGGAACTTAACTGCTACTTTCAAGCGCTTTGGGTCAGTACCATAGAGAGATGACTTGTTGGCTTGTCATGCTGATTGACCGTAGAATAATAGCCACGCCCTGTCCTCATGCGCATTGTTATTATTGGCTGAGTCTATCACAACTGCAGTTGCGCGATGAATGACGCGAATGAAATGTGTCGAGGCAGAGTAGGATAGAACCATGTTAAACGACATTGGCGTAGCCATAAGCTGAGGATGTTAACCATGAATAGAACGACAATGTATCGTGACTGCTGAGAAGCTAGAAGTGGGGTATTCTGGTGGGAAATAGACAAAGCGACCAACTCTCCTTGCTTCTGTGCAGTTCAGTTTGTATGTATCTAGCGAACAAGTTATCTCTGGAATGTCTTGAAGAGCAGATCTCAAGGCTATGATATGATATCAACGTTAAATTCTATTGTCCGGGATGGGATAAACCTATTGTACGGGATGGGGCATTCGAATAACTTTTAGCGACAGACAAAAATCTTGAAAGTCTTAAAGAACACGTGACAGAATTTTGTTTACCTGATGGCCTCTGGACAAAGGTGAAAATTTAGGCATATTGATATGAGTCAATCCTGAACGGACACCATATCTAACACATGTCGGGAGCTCTGGTCTGATTTCAGTCAACGAGTACGTATCGTTTGGTAGCTCGAGGAAGAAATTTAAGTCTTTGTACTGATCCTCGAGATCTTCGTCGAGTTCGTCGCTACTCGGAGCATTGTCATCGGCCGCTCGCACATCTTCGGTTACCCGACCAATAGCATTCACGGTGTCGGAAGAAACGATTTCATCACATTCCGCGAGTTGAATCAGTTTCTCTTTAAATAATTGTCTCTTTTCCCGATCAATTTCAACCGGCAATTTTCCTCTATCCATTTTATCACGTTACTTTGTATTTTTAATTAATTTAAATTTAACGTTCGAGCTTAGAACATTTTCAATTAACCTACATTTTTTGTAAGATATTCGTTTAAAACTGTATTTAAAATTTTCCACTCGTAAAGATTATTTATTCTGATTACTTTTCATCGAGATACAACAGAATTTTCATTTCTGGAAAGATTATTTTCATGTTCGGGTCACTTAAAATTTTGGAAGGTTTAGTAACCCTACCGGAACGATGGAAAATACGATATGAAATGCGAGTTAATTTGCATGTAGAGGTACCTGCATGATGTTTGCCCGAGAAACAAACGATAAAAATCACTTTTCATCTTTGCAACAAAATTCATACAGTCGACGCGATGTAACTGTTCAACTTTAACCTTAACAAAACATATCTTCAAAATTCAATATGTATCTGACATAAAAATGCAACAAGTAACGCCGAAATTTAATTATAATGTTAATCCATGGAACCTGAAAACCTTTTCATCCATAATGTTTTAATTAGCCTTATATACTGTTACTCGTACACTGGAAAATATGTTTCATCGACCAGAATGCCGAAAATACAGACAATGGAAGCGAGAACAATCTAAGAAATCGAAACAAGCTGTCAAGAAAGAGAAGAAAATAAAACGCAGAGACTCGATAGCTGATTGCATCGAAGAGAACGAAGAAAACAATGTACCGGAAACTAAACTGAAAGTCACTTTTCGTAAATGCAAAAAGAAATTTAGAATCAGAAAGCCGAGGGCACGAGCAACGTACGTGCTTAAACGCATTTCACTGGCAGAGATACTGTTAAAAACTATACGACCACCGATAGAAGTTAGAGAACGATTTCTTAATCCACGTCATACTGCTTGCCTGGAAGATAGCGTGTCAATAACGGACATTGCATTAGATCCTGCGAGTACCACAAGTAAACTCTTTGGAAAAATAGCTTTTCGATTCCAATTCTTACTCGACTGATCCTTTAACCTCATCATAACAGTGACAGCATTGTAAACAAAACTCAAGTACAATGCTTGCAGAAATATAAATAGCTGTCACACATATTTGAATTTTATTTATAATGCGTTTATATAAAGTATATTATAATATTTACATGAAATTATAACGAAGTAGATAAAGCAACTGTTGCAATTAAATTCCTTACGACATAGTTTAAACCATTATTTAATGTGCAATCTTATAACACAAATAAGAAAGACAATATTTATTGCTTATACAGGCTCACGAAATAAAAATACGTAGATAATCAAACGTTTAAATGTATAAATGAAAAAGGCATTATTAGATAGATTTCTTATTTACCAGAATTAGTTTATACCATTAGTAGATCCTTGATGTTGAGGGGTTGGAAAAAAATTACTTCCTAGTTTTCCTTAATTCTTTGCTTTTCTTTGGAAAGATAATGATACAGGAGGTTTGAGAACATAAGAGTACAATCTATAAATTATGTACTGAGTTTGTGAACTCAAGTAAAAACTCATTCCTTGCAATAACTAGAATGTATGCAATACTAGTAACTGTTTCGTAATGTTATACCATTAACGATAATATTTGCTCTTATTGCGTGTTTCTGTAGGAACGCCACGAAGACGGGCACCAAGAAGTCGGAAAAGAAGGAAACCAGTTGCAAAGAAACCGTTGAAAGATGATGAAAAGACCAAGGGAGACGAAGAAACGAAAGAAGAAAAGACTGAGGACCAGAAGATAGACGAAAAAGCAACGAAAGGCGAAGTAGAGGACCAGAAGACAGACGAAGAAGTAACGAAAGGCGAAGCAGAGGACCAGAGTACAGAGGAAAAAACAACGAAAAGTGAAACAAAGAAAAGTGTCAACGATAAAGGAACACGGAAAAGATTGAGACGCAAAAAGATTAGAAAGAAGAAAATTGTGAAAAAAGATTCTGAAGAAGACAGCGTGTGTGAGAGTATTTGTTCCTTCGATAGTCACGTATGCCTTGCAGGTAATATTATTACTATTTTTCATTTTTAATTTGAACACAATGATTCTTTCAGTGCGTATAAAGGTTATGGCAAACTCGACAAACTGGTTAATGTGGCATGATTTAATAGCAAAAATAATTAGATCGGTTCGACGTTGACAAACTACTAGCACAAAAAAAAGTTATTAAAGCATCCACGATATCGCGATACACCTCCCTCCTCCTCCCGTTCATACAAACAGTGAACTGTCTTAATCCATATATTCATTTATTTTGCAATATACGTGGAATCGAGGAAACCACATGACTGAAAGATTTCGAGATACACATTTCGTCAAATAATGTCAAGAATTTTGCCATTTAAGTTTTTTTTAATGGGGATAGAACAACATAGTAATAAAAGTTTAATCACGCTTAGCATAGTAAAATTTAGAAATAAAACGTGTCTATATATACATATATACAGATTTCGTTTGAAAAATGTAAACGATCTTGATATTTGAAATTCGTTAAAATTCATATTTTCTTCGATTCAACGTCATTCCCAAGGTTCATTCGCTTGCAAATTCAAATGAATCAACCTTTATATTAATAACCGGTCGGTTGCTGTTATTTTTAAGACTCGCGTTCTGTTCATCAGGCCTGAAGTTAACATCCGGCGACAAGAAAAAAATAAAAGATTATCAACGTCAAATTAATAATGAATCTACGGAAGAAAATAATTATCCCGATGATTAAGAGCATAAAAACAATACATGTATCATTGGTATGAGAGTGGATGTTCACGCGAGAATGAAGTACTCAGGAAATGGAAGTAACGAGTTCGAGAAAAATCTGATATCTGATTGCAAAAACGATCGATCAAATGCAATAACAGATTCTGCATAAGCGGGATGGAAAAATTATCAAGGTAATGAGATCAACTTAGGATAATCGGTCATTAGCGATTCCAAAGAATCGTAGTGTCCACCTAATGGAACGCACTAATCACACCGATGATCTAGAATTATTGTACGTAAAAGGTGTGTCCCATTTACACGGTGGAAGAGGTATGCCTAGTAGGTTCATGTAACCAAAGAGACTAACGATTAATCGCTGATTTGAAGATAGAAGACATAAATGATCAAATGATTGGACAACGTGCGCAGCTCCTTTGCACTGAGTAATTGCTGATCGTCGCTAATAAGTAAGTTAAGTTAAAAACACTATTAACAAACCTGTAAATAAGGAAAATATGACGAATATGGCCATTATAAACACATGAATTTTCATGAAGTTCATATGCTGAATTCAAAAATGAAAAACTAATTTACTGGAAATAAAATTTAATTACCAAATTATAGAAAGAATTAATTGAAAATGTCAGCAAAAGTAAATGCTTGCGATATGAGTATCGTTCAACTCTGTCTTAAACGTTCAATGGAAAAATGAACAACTAGGAGTAAATTTAACAAAAATTTACTGAAAACAATTAACCAATAGGCAAGAATATCTTACTGTTCTGTTACAAATTCGTTACATGTATCGTAAACGAATATAGATGGGCCAATTTTGATGCGCATGTTCGAACGTTTTCATCTGTTTGAAGATGGTTTATATACCATCTATATTTTATGTGTGTGTGTTATTATGAAGTAAAAGAGTAGGTGGAGAAGCGGCCCCATTCTTTGCACCCCCTCCGCCACAAACAGACAGAACCAACTCATAATTGTATTTATGTAACTTATAGTATTTATTGAATTTACTAAAAATGTAAATAATTTTTAAAAATTTGTAAAGCTACCTATTATATTGCTTTCGCGATTTTAACATATTTTAGTATATTTATTACCAAAATCAAAGATTTTATTCTGTAATATTGAATAAGAATTGTAAATTGAAAAACATTACTTTCATTTTGCATAACGTTTCCCATTTTGTTGAATGCACCTTTTTAATTCTTCGATAGTATGAAATTGTTGTTCCTTGTTATATACAGATTTTATTAGATGTGCCTAATAATTTTTTTGAACCACTTCAAATCACGATCTTGTTGGTCATTCTAAAATCTTAATATTTTGTTATTTAAAATAGTTTTCCATGGGCGTTTACGGACACTTACATCGTTCTATGGAGGTAATAACAGTATAAAATAGTTCTTGTACGATAATGTCGAATAAAGAGGTTAATTTAACAAATCCAAAGTTGGTTGAAGGCCAGTCTATGTGTCACATAAGGATATATTTAAGATAATAAATTAAATATAAAACCATAATGTGTCCCCAATGATTCACAATTACTGCATATGAAAGATGTGTTTCATTAACACAGTAAAAAAAGAATTTTCACTAGTTTTATCTGGAATATTCATAATAATTTGTGTACTATTAATACCTAAATAGGGGTTTCCACATTACAGTGACTCACTGAAATGTTCAAATTCGCAAGTTCCAGTTCTGGCATTCTAATCGAAACAAACCACTCCCTCTGATGTCCTTTGAAAATTGGATTCATGAATGGATCAATGGATTTGGAGTTAGAAAATTTGGGCGGACTCTACGTATCGCGAAGACCTGTTTCCTTAGGCCATCAGCTGTGGAGAACAGGATTTTATAAAAAGACCCTAATCAAAGGTATGCAGTAACCATTTTGAATAACAAGCTTAGGCAGGAAGAATTTTTGATAGCCGACTATGAACTTTTAATAGATATTACACAAAATTTATAAATCCTAATAATAGTAATACATTTGTATAATTTCCACATGTAATTTATTACAGAAGATATTTTCATGAGCTACGTGACTGCATTAATACAAATCAGAATTGAACAAAATGTAATTAGGTTACATTTGTCATGATACAGTTACATGTAATCACACTGTAATTGCATTGTACTCACATGACAATTACATGATAATTAAACAAATATTACACGCTTTAAAAACTTATGATTGTGATCGTACTTAGACAGTAAGTACCATATGTTTATAGTGTAGTAACAGTCTGATAATATGTATTTATATCGTAACAAATCCAATCATATTAAATTTTGCCCAACTTTGATGAAAATACATATATCATTCCATTAAAAAAATATCGATAACCTTGCAAAAGATTTTTGGTTATCAAAATATTTACTCCTAGAAAACGACCAATTTTCTGTGTTGTTTTTTTACGTATTTTCCAAAAGATTAAATATACAGAGTGTTCGGCCACCACTGGGAAAAAATTTCAATGGGAGATACTAGAGGCCAAAATAAGACGAAAATCAAGAATACTAATTTGTTGATGGAGGCTTCGTTAAAAAGTTATTAACGTTTAAAGTTCCGCCCGTATTGAATTTTTTTTCTCGAAAATGCGCAGGAATTCGGGGGTAGGTCTATTCACCAAAAATTATTGTAATTGAGCCCCGCAACCAAAAATAATTTTTTCAGAATGATTTGAAATTTTTTAATTTAATTTTTTAATAACTTTTTAATGAAGCCTCAGTTAAGAAATTGATATTCTTGATTTCCGTCTTATTTTGGCCTCTAGAACCTCCCATTAAAATTTTTCCCAGGGGTGGCCGAATCCCTGTATACTAGATGTTTATATTATTCTATTTACTATTTCTTGTGTCTTGCGAAGGCCAGAATAGACAGTTAGAGTACGAAACTGATAATACGGTGCAAATGTCATTACTGTACGTGAAACAAACTTGAACCGGATGCATCCTTCATATTAACGACATTATTCTTTCTGTTTCGCTTTCTTAATGAAATGTTAAAATTGATTTAGAAAATAATACCTAATCTATGAGTTTCCACTTACATAATATTTATCGCGGTGAAGCGTTTCGATGATTACGTTCAAATAAATTTAACCAAGTATTTGAAATCAATGAAAAGAAACTTGACTATGAAAATATCAGTGATGAAACCATGGTTAATCAGATTTCTTCGTCGAATCGATCATTTTCTGCTACATAATCCAGTCTTCGGATCACTGGAAAATTTTATAAAATTATTTAGTAGAGGAAATGGAGGACAGAGTTCAGCTAAACAAACTCCTTATGCAACAAATACATCGTTTGCTGCATTGACCGTTAAAAATGATGACAGAAAATACAACACGTTATCTTCAGTTTATAATCATAATTAAAATTATATAATAAACTCCATTACGCCCATCTGTAAAGAAATGGTCATCTTATAAAATAAAGAAATAAAATTAACCTCGATATCTCAGTAACGCGTCTACTTAAAAAAACAATCGTTTCCGTTATACATCAATCCCCTTTGAATCGAATATTTATCATACGCATAATTTTTCCATATACAAGGTGTTCGGTAAAAACAATGAAAAATATTAAGCCAAGCATGTGCCTTACTTAACCTTGTTCTCAATTTACTATTATTATAATCCTATATTCATTCATCACAGTCTCAACAAGTATAATTAACTCTACTACATTATTTGTATACAATGATAACTCCTCGATATCGTTCATCATCGTTGACTAATACCTTTAATTTTAATAGAACTAAACTTTTCTTATTGATTAAATAAAACTGTGTCCCTCTGTAAAAGCACTTAATATTTCACTAATTTATTACACGTTAGACACAATAATGAATGAGTATTTAAACCACAAAATGTTTGATGAATTCAACAAACGCTAGGAATTATTTATAAAGGTAAATAGCTTCACCTTACTGAAATAAATAAAATTACCTAAAAGTATGCAGAAATTTGACCGCAGTTATTAGAAGAGATTCTATCGAATCGATAATACACACTCTGAATATTCGACAGGGAAAAAGTAAGAACAGTCCCGTCCCGAATTAATGAGAACGATGCCAAGAGTAAGTAGAATGTGATCAGCGTCGAGCAATTTTGCCTTACGAAGGCAGGCTATAACGTCTGACTCAATACTACTCGTACAGAAGGTCTCTTTTTCTCGGCAGGACATAATCATCTTAAATAGAATGTTTAAAAATACAATAATTGGACTGGAAACCGTAAATGGCTCGCACGTTTCACAGACTTGACACCTCTGGACTTCTATTTAAGGGGAATACTAAAGCAACAAATGTACAACACTAGCAACTAAAAAAAGACATAAAACGACTGAATAAAAACTTGTAATACACATAATTTAAAACTTGGTATGTAAAAAATCCAATTTCCTAAACTGTTACATTTGCTTCTTGAGAGGAAATATTTTTCTTCGTAACTACCGTTTAGTGATCCTGGATAACATTTGAAAAACGTTAGTCATTGTATTCGTCTTACAAGCCTTGTTCATTACAAGACCTAATTCTTGCTTATTTCACGGAGTTTTGTTACTCGCATACTATATTTAGAAGTATACAATTTATGTGAACAGGTTTTTTCAATAATGTAAAACAACAAAACACCTGAATGATAGATTTAATACCAATTTCATACCAAATTTTGTCATTTTAGGGTCTAGAAAATAGTATCAAGATGTTATTCTCAAAATTATAGATCTACATATATTACTGACGACATAGTTAAAATCATATACTTTGCAAAACCAAACATTGTACTGTAAACTTCTCTGTTTCTCTAGCACAAAAATGCGACAAGCGCTTATCTTTTATTTCTATGTATGGTCAGTTCATGAAAATTTAACATTTGCTTACCAGTCTTTGCACTGGCGAACGAGTTATCCATTATTATATTTCAGCCAATTCCGTGTAGCGGATCCGTCATTAATTCTGCAATAGAATTTGCAAACTATATGTAAAAGGTTCTTTAATAGTCAGATCAATCGTTAAGTATTGTAAAATATTTTTTTCAAATATTTAATTTTACAAAAATCCACAAGGGTATGTCTAATTTGAGTTACCTGCCTCATCATAAATACTACATTCCATTTTGTAAAGAAAATCAGCACATTCCTCAAAAAATCAAACAACCTCTGCTTCAAATATTCTTGTCTATCTTTAAAAATAAACGAATTACGCAGAAGACTTATCCTGTATGATAATTATTTTTTTCTCCGTACAAGTGTTAAATATTAACCATAGTCTGCAACCAAATCTATGAAACATCGACTACCAATAAATAAATAAATAAACTTTTATTCGTTCGATTTGAATACACGATAATTTCGTTGCATCCCGGAAAGTGTTTCGGAGCATATGTTAACTCGCAGTGTTGATACACGGCAGGTTAGATATACTCTGATAGCGAGTTTTACGAATTCTTCGCCCAGTATTCTAATAGATAGATAAGTCATTACTGTCTTCGCGCGGACGTTTCGACGTCTTATCTTCTCGTAGTAGCAACCGCTTGTTATCGCTCGACAATTTCACACTCGTTCGAAAAACAGAAAGTTTACGATGATTCGTGCTCTGGCAAGCTCAGTGCACGAACGATCATCGACGAAGACGTTCCTAATTGCATTAAATCGTCGCAATTATTGCGGTCCGTTGATTTCGTTTTAAACCGCCGTGCCGCGGTAAACATTCACGTTGCATCCGGTGTATAAAAGAAACTAAGATGTTCTGTTACGCCAGAATACCAAAACTGATCCGTAAGTAAGAGCACTTTAAAAACTAGGTACGAACCAGAGATGGGTAAGTCTATTTTATTATAGATAAAAATTTCAATTATTTTTCAATTTCACAATGAAGAAATACAAATTTAACTGTTTGATCGAATTATACATATACGTTGGTCTTATTGAATTGGTATTCGAATAACATTTTACCCATCTTCTGATACAAACCTAATTCAATATTATCTGTTTTACACGAGTCTTACGAGAAATTAAAACTAGCTTTTTACTATTTCTGTTAAATTGATGTTGAGGGTTAATAATGAAGATCGCATTAAAATTCATTAATGTAAAACAATCAATAATAAGTGAAGAATAATGACATTAAAGCGTTCATAAAATTTGTTTGTAATAATGGTTGCGGACAGCTGTATTTTTTTTCCAACGTGATATTTGCATAAATGGTTTCGATCGATCGTATAATTAATATAGACTCTTGTGCTAATGCAACTGCGAAAGAACATCATTTTTTCGGGGAAAAGCAGTGATAATGAGGGAAATTAAAAATAACTGTCAAATGTGCTAAAGTCTTGGTTAAGTAATCATATTTAATTATACTTTTAAAAAGACACGCACGGCTCCTGACAAAGACGTTTACATGATATATAATGCGTACGTGATTATGCGCGTTCGCTGGATACTTTTATTCGCAAAATCACACGCATTTCCATTATTTATTTATACATTCGTTGCTGATGCAGTACTAAACTTACACTCGTAACATAACATTCGGGTAGAAGACTTTTTTTTAAATATTTTTATTAAAATTGAAAATTCTAATTTTCTTGCAAGTAAATCTATACATTCTTCAACAAGAATTCTGTTTATGGCAGTGGTTGAAAATGAACCAGTTTTAATAAGAACCAAAATGACAGACAACTATTTATGAATAAATTCGACATCTTTTATCTGTTGGAGCTTTGGAAAATAATGGACAATTATTTTCAGAACCTTTTTGATCCCTGGTTTATGGTCTTCAGGAGTTTTCCTTTCACTTTGTCTACATTGATAAATCGTTTCCCTCATTTTGGTTTTACTTGGGAATGAAAAGATGTACGAAGGGAAACCGAGGCAGAAAGAGAACAAACACCGTGTTGTTTTTTGTTAAAAACTGTTGAGACAAGACTATATAGAGAAACAGAGATTGGAATCTGCACCAAGACAATACTTCTGACAATATGGCCTTGCCTGTCCAACATACTTTCGCAAGAACCAATATGGTGTTTGTTCTTGCCTCTCTTTTCACCCGATTCTGATTCCTGCGACATTTTGTCATTCTTGTGAATAAAGGGAACTTTATAGAAGGGCAGCAAGTCGTTGGTATAAACGGAATGAAAAAAAACTGTTCGAGGCCATAAACTCTCATTGAAAAGTTTCAGAACTGTTTCCAGCAGTGAAAAGGATTGGAACAAGTGTAGTGTATGTTGAAATAGAATAGTATATATAATAAATTATAAACGTTTATAAACATAATATATAATTTCAGTCTCTGATACAAGCACGTATTTAACGTTTTGATCTCTGTTTTTGAATTATCCTCGAAAACACTGTGAATAATAGACAAAAAGTGTAAGCTAAATAGTTATAACAAATGTCATCTAATAATGAATATGGTAAACATAATTTTTTACAATCTAAATTTGAAAATATGTAAGTAACTCATGTTACAAACATGG